ATGTTGCTCTTTACATAAAATTTTTATTTTCTTTTTTTTTCTGAATTTTTTTGTTATGTTGCTATGGCTCAATACAAAATAATTCTAATTGTGAATTTTTTTTTACCAGTAAGAAATCTGACCACACCGTTGTGACGATACTTTCTCGCAAGGCCCAACGGGGAATTCTAAAAAGAATGAATGCCAGAACCTCGAATTATAAGATGACCATTATTAAAGCTGTATAAAAAAATAACGAATCCAACTTTATTTAACTCTTATTTCGTCAGTGCCTTAAAAACGTTTTTTATAAACGCAAGAATTCGCTACCGCAGAACGAGGAATTATTAGAAGCGGCAGAAAAAGACCAGAACGAAAATAGAAGAAACAATAGATAATTTACTAAAGAAACGCATAATCGACCAACGCTTGCAAATCACTCAAAAAAAGCATTAAAAAATTCAGCAGATCAGAATTGTGTGTACTCACCTAATTTAAGCATTATTTAGTTTAGAAAAACCTCAGGAGGAAATAGAGCTTCCGGGCTACTTTTGATCATGCAAAACAACAAACTTTGCTGATGACCGTCTAACACAAAAAATTGCAGTAAATTGAAACAAATCACTCGCAATCATATAACATTAGCACAGTTGTGGAACGTAGATTTTGTAGTTGACAAATCTTTTTTTCAACGCACTCTCAAAAACCGCTCCTGCTGACAGCAGCATTTTCACTAATAGGACTTTCAAACAAAGCAAAATTTGTTGCACTTGAGGAAACTTTTCGTCTACTAGAAAAACAAAAAAAAAAATCAAAGATTCAATTTATCATGAAGAATTCCTCCAACAGCTTAATCTCTCATGATATTCTCAAACAAGTCTAAAGACCTGCAAAATACACCCCAAATTCAAGAACCTCTTTACTTACGCTTCGACTCTACTTCGCCAGGCAGTAAGCTTTTCTATTACCAGTACAATCCAACGTCTATCAAAACGCAAACATCCTCATCTCTTAAAAATATCTTCCAAAGTTTTCCCAGTGATAAGTTCTCCATTTCATTTTTCTCCAATTCTTCTTCTTTCGCATATCGAACACTCTCACTTCCACTCCCGGACAACCACAAAAAAAGCAACCGTCTTACCAAACTCGCGAACTACGAAACAAATCATATTACGCAAATTTAATTCCGTTTCCCCCGGGAAAAAAAGTTTCAAAAATACCCGAGCTACTGACCACTTTTCACATACCCAAAAATCGTACAAAAAACTTATCTGCTTAAAACAATAAAAGAATCAAACAAAGCAGAGAGTGAATTTCAAACTTTCTTCACATTACCTGATTCCCGTCCACTGCACTCACGTCAGCATCTTTCGACACTAAAAACATTACAACGCTGAGACTGCCAGATTCACAGGCACAGTGCAAAGGGGTTTCC